CAAATCGACAAGTAGTTTAAATACTGGAATGCTTAATTTATTGAATACCCCTTACTCAGCTAACCAAATTAACTTATAAACTATTGGTCCGATTTAATAAACCTATTGCCCGTAAGTAAGTAAAGGGTATACAAATGTTGACTTTCAAAATATTTTACACTTTAAGGTTAAGAAACTAAACTTTACTTACTTTACTTTATATAAATTAATATCTCAGATTATGTATACGCACTGGCGACCGGATGTGCGCCTCTTTTCTGAGATCTGATCATTCCCAAGGACTATGCGATGTTTGATAAAGCAAAACTAAAAATGCGTTAGTACCCTGCAAACGAATAAAAGAAAAGTATATTGGTATCTAGAAAACCAAACGTTTTAATGTGCCTATTAAAATTGTACGTTTTTGATGATTAAAGTCTGAAAATTAAATATCAGAAAAATATTTCATTTCTAGCATACTCAGTTCTGGAAGGACGAAGGTATTACGGGGCCGGGGCCTTCGGCATTATTCCAACTGCCTGCGACTTTCGCCTGCCCTGCCGCTATTTTAATAACGTGCATGCTGCGCATTTGGGATAACATCTGAATTTATGTAACGACACAAGCGCAAACAAAGATGGCAGCCAGACAGGCGAAACGTGAAAAGCGGAAAGGAAAAGCGGGAGGGCGGGACAGAGAAGATTTTCCGGGACCCAGAAAGAGATAGAGCGAGGGGCAGACAGGGTCGAGAAGAAAACTCAAATGAAAACTGATGCGGATTAGTATTTAAAATAATGTCCTGCAGGGATATAACTTGCACCCCACCCCCCTCAAGCCATGGGCCTCATTCCGTTTTCTTTATTTTTTCTCACTTGATTTTTTATTTTGTGTTTCCTTATACTTTCTCCCATTTTAATTCCTTTGCAGCGATTTTTTCTTTTGGGGAATGTTTCATAAAATTTATATTTGCAGATAAGTGTGCTTGTGGAGCGTGAGGGAGGGCAGAACGTTTTTATTACGGGACAATTTACATATTTTTCTTGTTAAAATTCCTCAACATTCTCTCCCCAGCCAGGTCCTTCGTGTCATATGAATTTTCCCCCATTTTCTTGTTTCTGAATTAATGTTAATTTTTATTACACTTACTGTAGCTGTGCGACCCACTCCGCTCATTTGAATTCAAGCTTGTTTGTCTAAGCGCACAACAAAAAAGGACGAAAACAAGAAAAGCTAAGAGGGAAAATACCAATGGCGGCGTCCAGATGAAAATGTTAATAATAAAACAACAAAATCCAAATGAATGCGTTGCAAATCGAAAAATAATAAAAATAGAATCGCCATCCCATCCCCGCCTGTGTCTCCTGTCTGCAGGACATCAAGTCCCCCAGTCGGTGCCTCATTACGTATTCCCTGAACAAATTCTATTAATTATCGTTATGTCCTTCTGATGGGTGACTGCAATCGAGGGACTTCCTGCTGGTTGTCCGCTCGTTTCTTAATAAAAGTTACACGGGGATTTTAATTTTCCCCAGTAAGCTGTGTTTATGTCCTCTGAAAAGAACCTGGAATTTTTATTGCTACTTAACGAAATTTTTACCCAGTTAAATCATGAGTTGAGAAAATACAAAACTACTGGTATACGTTTTTAAAAATAAACAACCTCTTCAAATTTTAAGGTTTGTTCATTGATTTTGCTATTTTCATTCAATTACAATCGAAAATCAGAAAATAATTTTGTGTGCGATTCCCATGTGGAATCCAGTTGCTAAATTATTCCCAATTCAATTTCCGATGGCCAAATAAAATCACAGGCAGCCAACTAAAGAAATGGGACATCGGGCACTTCTATTGGGATATGCAGAGATGAGCAATTTGTTGTTCTGATGCTGCTGGCCCCCGTCATGGAAAATTCTAAATGTTTCAATCAACTATTCGCAATATTAAATATTAACGTACAACTCGAGTGGAGTTGTCTCGGACTGACCCTTTCGATGTCGGACCCAAAAAGGTCATCATGTGTCTGTAAATACACTCACATTACATAGATGCGAGTAAGTACACACAAAACAAATATTTAAGGATACTAATAAGCCTTAAATAAACATCTTGAATATGCATAAAAGTAGAAGTCATTTTATTTGTCTAAAAAATGTAGCAAATTAATAAATATCCCTCATCCTAGTGAAAAATATACCATTGACCTCGAAAATATAGTAATTTTTAACTGTGCAGAGAAGCTGGCAAGTAATTTTGGACATTTTTCATCATAAACAGCAATGACTACGTCTGCAGTTGGAAGACCCAACCCCTTCTGGGAATTTCTTCCTTGGCCGGGCTTTGATTTCGAATTGGATTTGAATTTGGAATTTTTGGCTTTCAAGGACCGCCGGAGGTTGAATGGTAAATGGCATGGAGTCCGAGTTGGTCAAGTTGGTCAACGCATAAATATTTCTCTTTGTTCGGGCATAGCATCGGGTCCAAAAAAGAGCATCACGTGAGTGCGAGTGTGTACCTGTATATCCTTGCCGGTCTGCACTCATCTCTCCCCTACCCCTGCCCCCCCCTCCCCCGTTCTGTCTGGCCACCCCCTTTGCACCCACCCCTGCACCAGCACAAACAAACAGGCACAAGGATCTGGAGTCGTGGGCAGATGGAAAGGATGGTCAGATATGAGCAACGGTCGAATGGTCAAGTCAAAGTTATTGTCATGTCATGTAAGTGCCAGCCACCCACATTCACACCCCTTTTCGTCTCCCGGCCTGGTCAGATTTTCCAATTTCATCTTCATCTTCCATACAGTACAAGTATACCATTTTGTTTTTCCTTTTTGGCACAGTGGGCAATAAAATTGATTTTCACAACATTTTCTGCGCAACCCGATTGGAAAAATTCCCATATCTCTTAGAATACGATGTGCCAATCTAAAATCATACTTTTTAGTTTGTCTTTTAAACAGTATTGATTACTTACAATATACTAAAGTAAAAACTTTAATGCCCCCCTTCTCTTTTGAATCCCTTTCATTGCAAAAAATAAACCATTTACCACTAGCATCTGATGTAATATATATTAAATTATATTCTTATTAAAATGATTAATGCTTTAAAAAATCTATGGAGTTGATAGAACCATGAAAATGTAAATTAAGTTTTTCTAAATTTTTTTTCATACTGTTTAATACAATAATATTATTGGGGCTTAGCAAATAAATCAAAATACAATCTGTAAAACACTTCAATAATTTATACTAGTGGAAATCCACCTGCTGCTGGGAAATCTGTCAACTGTATATGATGAAAAAGTGGTCACACGTGCGCTGAAGTTGAATGTAAACACACCTGGTAAAAAAGACTCATCAGAAATCCACCGAAACTTTTCATAAGTTTGAAGAGAACTGGGGAAGATCGTGTTCGAGAAAAGGTTCTCCCCTGGGCTGGGTAAAATGTAAATATCGGTTGTAATGGCCCACGCCCCAGGAGGTGGAAAAATCAACTGGCCAGTAACTTTGGAGCCAACTTTGATGGCATCTTGCGAAAGTTGAAAGTGACTTAAGTGAAATTTCCACCTCGGGCGGCCCCTTTTCCTTGGGCTTTCGAGGGGTCACGCCATGAACATGAGTAAAAATTAAATTGATTTTCCTCGGACATTGTTCGGACCTGTGCTAAAGTTCGGTTCGCTTTTCTTTTTGGCCCTTCATGGTCTTTTGACAACCCTATGGATTTCGAAAAGGATTTTTTTGCTCGAATCCTTCAGGAAACTTCAGCTTAGCGAACTACTTCAACTTGCCTGTGTCGCATATTAAATTGGTGAGTAAATAGTTTGAAACCTTGTCCTATCCTGTATTTTATTGACTCACTTCATAAAGTTCTTTGCTTGAGTTGGTCGCATCTGCCCAGCAAAATATTAACTGAAAGGGTTTCCTCATACCATCCACTAAATCCGCATTCCCGTTCCACTTGACTTAAGCGACAATTTCATTTCAATTAAATTATAATTATATCTTCAGTTTGGCCCCATCAAGTTTCAGTCAAACAAAAAGTACAATTTTCATTTTCACCTTTGCAAAAGACTAGGCGGGCGTTGATAATTCCCCAAAATTGTTTGACACTTCAAAGTCATTATGAAGATAGCAATCACCAACCCTGTTTCTCGGCCCGCTCAACTTTCCTCCAAGGGTCCTGACATTTCTTCACGGCTCGGCATTCACGCCATCTCCCGTTTTTGAACCTCGGCAATCCTTCAGGTCCACCCCTCCCTCGTTCTTTTGCCACTTTACTCAATCCTAAGATGGGACTTGCCACGTCTGTCTACATACCTTCATACCGGCAGCGCTTTTTGATGTAATTTTGGCATAAGCCAAAAAATGTTTCCTTTCTCGAGATGTCTTTGTCTCCAATCCCCAGCCAGCGGTTTCCGAATGCGACACGCTCTGACAAATTCATCCGGGGAAAATGAAGAAAATGGCTGAAAATTAAATTTCGAATTAAAATTTTAGCGTTGCGCACATAACTTTATGCCCCCGGGTTTACTTTCCACTTAAAAGGGCTTCATTGCATAAGGACGATTCCTCTTTGAATGTTGTTGGGGCCGTAATGGTTATAAAGTCTTTTTAACGGTCTTTTTCTTGAACTTTTATTATTTAAGTTCAAAATAACTAATAATCCACATTTTATTTTAAAAGTTTTCCGTTAAATGTTTTTTTAATAGGTACTTTGGTTTGTTTAAATTCAAAAGAAAATCACTCAAAGGCCTTTAAATGTAATTTTGGGGATTAAACCCAAAAACTAATCAATTTGTTTTAATATTTTGAACCACCACCATATTTTGAACTAGCATCTTTTTAACGTAAAATTATTTTACATGTTTGTTAGTATTTTTGCGGCGATATGTTTTTGGCAATCGACTATTCTGCAGATCAAGCTATCGGTTACTTAACTAAACGAATACTATGCGGCACCTTATTGTGAATGGCAGTTTATCAGCTGATCGCTTCTTTGTTGTTTTAAAAAATAAACAAAGGAGAAATTTGGGTAATGTTTCTCATTTTACGTTCTCTTTTATTTCGATTGAAAAATAATTCTTATTAAAGGAGAAAAATGTAAGGCATAATAAAAACATATAAATAATAATATAATATAATTTGTGTTTCATATATATAATGAAATATACATACATATGTACAAATTTGCATAAATAATTTAAATGTAAAACTTGTTTAAACTAATAATTTCAGTCAATAAAGTTTGTCATACTTTGTAGGACTACTTACGAAAAAAATAGCGAAACATTTATTTAATTTATCTTATTTATTTTGACGTCAAAAGTTGATCATGATATAAATAAAAATTAATTTGTATATTTATACCCGTTGTTCTTAGAATATAAGGGTCTATATAAATATCATTAGTAACAGCAAGAATCAATATAATCAAAATCGAACTTCTTACTTTGACTTTTCAAAACGTGTTCTTTGTTTTATTATAAAATTTGCTGGAATTCAGCCAGTTATCAGCTAATCCCATATATGTATTTGAAATATAGCTGGTGTGAGGTGACTCACTGACTTTATTATAAGCATTATATATGATAATAAGCATATTCAGAACATTTCATTATAGATCGTAAAAGCAATCTTCTGAGATTCGATCAAATGGGTTGTCGCCGGTTTTCTGGTGGAGGACACCACCCAGGAGGCGGTCCGCCTCCCCATCATCATCGTGGCGTTCATCGCAGAGGTAGACACTGTGGACATGGACATCACCCTCCACCACCCCATCATCCTCCTCCTCCACCCTACCATCGTCCACATGGCCATGGTGGTCACTTTTGGGATGGATGTGGTCCTTCTCCTCCTCCTCCTCCTCCCCCGCCCCATTGCCCACCTCCTTGGGGATATCCTTATGGTGGTCATTATTGGCAGGGATACCCACCGCCGCCACCACCTCACCACCCCCCACAACCTTCTGGACCTCCAGGTGGTGGGTGTCACTATTGTGGGTGTCCAGGTGGCGGTCCACCTCAGAGTGGACATCCCGGGATCGAAACACCCCCTGGCGAAACCCCGAACAACGATCAACATGGTAACAATGGTCCTGGAAACACAGAGAGCACACAAACCCCAAACCCTGGTGTGGAAGTTCCTAGTAATGAAATACCCGGCAAGAATAAATACGAAATCATTGATCTTAGGAATCCGTGATTCTAGCAAGTTCATAAAATGCATTTAATGAGCTAAGTAAAATTAGTGTAAGCATGTTGTCAAGATGTATATAAAATTAAGTTTGGCAATGCTCAAACTTTCACCCGAATAAATTGATTTTTAAGCCGCACCCTTATAAATAATCCAGGTTTACTAACAATATCAATTTTGTTGTGCATTCTATTCTGTTAAATTAATTAATTAATTTATTGTTTAATCATCGCGAGCTATAAATTAACACCTTTTTAAGAAACTAGTTTTTAGGAGTTTTCTCTCTTTAAAATGTATCTATCGCTATGACCAGATGTGAACAGCGTTGTTGTGGGTATACATTCCCTTTTCAGGTAGAAAGTTAATACACATTTTCCTAAAAACGCATATAGATCCCATTTAAATCCGTCACACAGGTAGCATTTCTTCCGCTACCTACCTGAATTTTCAGCTCTGGTATAAATATCCCTGATTTCTCGAAATTACTTCAGTACTAAAATATCTTTCATAATGAAAACACTGGTGCGTTATCTTGCTGTGAAAAATTATTTTAAGGACTCACTTTTAAAATTCAAAACTTTTAGATTGCTCTGAGTGTGCTGGTGGTCACTGTTGTCGCTCAAAATGCAAGGCAAGGAGGATTCGGTGGACTAGGTAGTCTGGGGACACAAGGAGGGTTTGGTGGACAAGGCGGCTTCGGAGGATTTGGTGGACAAGGAGTATTCGGAGGACTCGGCGGTCAAGCAGGATTTGGTGGTAATATAGGATTTGGTACGCAGTCAGGAATTGGTCAAGGAGGAGTACCTCCGAGTCAGGGAGGATATGCTGCACAAGGCCCACCAAATCGCTATGAACCCGGTTACGGAAGTGCTGTTGGACCTGGTAATGTCCATGGAGGTAGTCCCGTTGAATCTGGTCATTTTCATGGAGGTAGTCCGGTTGGAGCTGGGAATTATTATGGAGGTAATCCAGTTGGACCTGGCGATTTTCACGAGGATCATCTTGAACATCCGGAACATCATCGCGATCATCACCGCGAACATCATGAACATCGTGAACACCACGGACACCACGATCATCACGAGCATCACCGACATTAGCTCAAGGATTATTTTATAAAGATCTTGTACTCATGAGTAAACAATAATACTATTTTGATTAAAAAATATAGTTCATTTCTGAAGTGACTATTTTTACTCCTTTCTTTTCACAGATACATTTGATTCAAGTATCATACCTAAATAACATAGGAATAACGTCATCTTTTAAGTAGATACAAGTTAAACCGTAATCCTTTAAGATTATAAAATATTGCAAAAGACTAAGATTCTTTTTTTAAAAGCGATTGCATTACTTTTTGTCTCCCATCATATTGGGATCCACACTTCCATCTCAAATTTCAGTATCTAAAATGAAATAAGCGAGCCACATAAAGGTGGGATAAACAAGGAAACGGAACCCTTTACTCTGTCCATTTCGGACCAGTCTTCTATAAATTATTTCGTAGATAAAACATATACTACAGTGGCTGGGGGCCCACAGCCCATCTCAACTTTTGCAATCGGAGAAAAGGCTGCTGTCGACCGCTCCCCAGCGACATTTTCTGACCAACGCAACTGACAGAATTGAAAAATAAGCGACTGGGTGAGTAGGGGTTGGGGGTGGGGGTGGTGTTTCAGGTGGTTGGGGGCTGAAGGTGAAAAATAAAAAATGGCGTCCAGTCGAGTGCTCAACCTCAAGATTTATAACGAAGGAAAAAAATAAGGGTAAGGGTAAAGGCTGGGAGAAAATAGCACACGTTAAAATAATGCAAAAGGTGAAGAAGACTAAAAAAATATGCGGGAAAAACACCCACACACTTGTGAAAAGAGCGAGAGGGAAAACCGCACACACACTGATGCACGCAACAGCGGAAATGGAAAGGATAAAATTAATTTTTCTCCTTTTTTGCCATTTACTTCACCTGCCGGCTTCTTCCCACTCGCGTTTTTCCTTCAAGGATAACAGAAAAGTGGCTCGGCGAAGGGGTGAAAGTGGGTGGTCGAAAGTGGGTGGGTGAAAGTGGGTGGGTGAAAGTGGGTGGCTTCCAAAGGGTGACCCACCCGAGCGGCAACATTGCTGACGCTATCAAACACCACAAACACATTTAGTTTGTGGCGAATTTGTTTTTGCGTCGCTCACTTTTCTCACTGCTTCGTCTTCTAGCAATTTGCGCCATAAAAATGTGCAAAAAATTGCAACAAAAATAAAATCGGAATAAAAAAGCCATGAGGAGCCAGAAGAAACTTGCGGACAAATAAAAATGGCATAAAAATATTCAACTCACCTGAGAAGTGCGAAATGGGTCCCCAATACACTGTTAGAAATGTAAGTGAGGTAGCGTTTTAAAATTATATTGAAAAACGTAATATTTAGCTAAAGTAACTTTCCTAAATCTCAAAAATGTTTCCACTTAATTTCAAAACTTTTTAACGGTTGTATGAAAACTAAGCGAAAGTTATGCTTATTCTCTCAATTAAAATCAATACGAAAAGTAATTATGATACTTCCTTTAAGGTTATTTGGATATCTAAAACCTAAGAATATAAATATTTGGAAAATCTTCTTTGGATTTTATTTTTGTTTGGCCAGACTGGATATTTCTGCATCGTATCACGTTCACCAATCTTTTGAATGGGCGTGTCAGCGGAGAGACTTTCACGTAGCCACAAGATTCCTCCTTTTCTCTTCCTCCATCTCTGGACTACATAGTCTGTACTATAAAATATCTATAATAAATCCACTTTTTTTCTGGGAAAACTGAAAAACTCACCCGTCAAATAAAAAAGACAAAAAGGAGAGAGTTTAATACAAAAAGTCGTGCACATGTGAAGGGAAAAGGGCCGAATGTAGCCGTGTCCAGTTCAAAGGGAATAAAAAGTGGAAACCAATAACGGCAATGGGGATGCAGGGGAGCTGGTAATCCGCTGAGGCAAGAATAAAAAGGAAACAAGGCAAACCGAAGCGAAGTGAAGCAATAAAAATGAAATGGGAGTACCGGAAATAGGAAGAGCAGCCTGTCAAATGGGAAATATTATGTCCCCCTTTGGATCAGATAACCAGATGAAAGAGGAAATGGGATGACCTCACCTAGAGTACAGTCTCTTCTCTCCAACCCCTGCGAAATATTGCGCATACGCAATGTGGCGCAACGCCATTTGGGTGGGAAGTTATGAAAGTGACCGCAGGAATTATGAATATGTTTCCTCCTCTCGGCCAATCAAAATGGCACCCCGTTCTGTCAGCCAACCACAGAAAGGGCTTTGTGAACCTGCGCTTATTGCATAAAGTTATGTGTATATATCATAATCCATAACGTGCCATACACCCCCTCTGAAGACAAAAAGAAAAACCTACAAGGCTCTGTTGTCGTTGGCTTCAAATTACAACCACAAACGGAAATGGGGGCGAAGGAGGGGGAATCAGCCCTTAAAAAGCAACCACCCACACGCACACCACCACATTTCGCTTAAGTCAACACAAGAGGGGGAAAAACCCAAAAGAAAGCGATTTTTGGGGGTGAAATACCAAGTGAGGCGGCAGCACCCTCAGTGCCACCCAATTATAACCGTATGGGTAAGTCTGTGCTTCGCTGGGTGGCATGGGTGGCCTATTTGAGCTGCTCGCTCTGTTATTGTTTCATTTTTCCCGTTTTCCCTTCGATTTTTCTTCAATTTATATATGTACGTGCCAGCGAGTGTGTTTGTATTTATGTGGGATATAGCCAAGACTCGCAAGATACACGTACGCACAAGCATTCGGGCAAAGTTACTGCGATACGTGCAACATCATAAAAGGACAAAACAATAACAATAAAAATCATATATACTCATAGCCCCTCACCACCCGCACATAAGACACACTCACAGCCCCCACCACCCCTTTTGTATATACATATGTGGGTTTTTATAAACATAAACGAAAAGCGTTAAGATATGAGTGTCCACAAGGAATACAGGCTCCCCTTACTACCCATCTTTAATGCTTTCCCCGATGTCAATGGTCAATTCCTCCTGTAATAAAAGACAAACATTACAAGAAATGTACTAAATTGTCTAAACATTTTTTATGTTGTTTTTATTGTGGTTATTTACCGTTTAAAATCATGGGAAATGCATTTTAAACTAATTTGAAAAAAAAATAATATAGAATACCAAATTTGTCAAATATATTTAAAGTTATATCATATATTAGACAATTGATTTGAGATCTGCAAGCCGAGACATAACTTGGGAAGTAAGTAAATGTTATATTTTTTAGATTTAGTGATTTTTATTGGTAGTTAAATTTTGTATACTAGAGTTTTGCTTATATATTTTTAAAATAATAATAACATTTTTCTAGCATTTCACGTTCTTATACCGCCTATCTTGGTAATAAACCAGTTTAAAGTGATTTTATAATTATTACCCCAAATCCAATTGCTGAATAAAAGTCTGCAACAGATCCCTGAGAGTCCCATCCTTCCCTTGGACTTTTCCATGTGGCATATGGCATGTCAGCGCCTCCCTGACTGGACCCCATTGATTTCCCTTAGCGGCATATAAAAACACATTAGACCGGCTAAGAACCTCATTTATGAAGAGAAGGAGAAATGGGGCCAGGGTAGAAGGGCAGACCCAAGGATACGGCGTTCGCTGTTTGGCTTGATAAAATGCGTTAAAACGAAAATTAAGCAACACAATTAATGGACTCGCTTTATCATACAATTTTAATGGCTCAAATAAATTGCCCAGAACTAGCCGGCGAGCAGAGTGGCCCCTGACTGAATGTAGAGCACACACTCGCCCTCCCGTGAGTAGATGTAAAAGTTTCTGTATTTCTTTGTCTGAAAGAAACACATTCCCACAAATGGATATACCACATATCCAAACAAGCATATTTATATATTTGACTTGCTTTTATTTTGAAGATTCAATTTAGTGCTAAGCTTAATTAGTTTCAGGTTGCTGTTCATAGCTTATTCCTGTTTTATATCCAAGCTGATACAATGCTTTCTAATGGAGTATTCTTGGGAAGGATTATCCAAATAATAAACCCCGATCGTCCTAGTTCTAAAAATTTTTCACTTTTATTGTTTACAATTTATTGTTTACAATTCTTTGCCATTATATCATTTTATTAAAATCTATCAATACTTAAGATCTATCAATTTTATAGAGCCTTATGTGCAAACTTTTATAATAATGTTTTTTTATTTCCGACATTAAGTAAGGTTCTATAGGGTAGAAAGACTACAATATACGTTTCCAGGGACGGAAAGTTCTTTAGAAATACGAAAAATAAATATAATCAAAATACCTTAGTTCCATTCTCTTTATATCCAAGTTATATATTGCGCTTAGCGCAGAGCAACACCCAAGCTGTTGAAGTATGACATCATATTTTAGGGTCCACCATCCTCCGCTTCCCACACTCATCGCTCTCCCCAAAAAGAAAACCGCACGACATGGCCTAAGCCCGTACTGGCCGACATTGTTATAAAAGTGCAAACAAACATGGCTGGCAGGGGGTGTTGTAGGAGAAAATACCTCCCAACCGAGCCGAAACCGAAGAGAATTTAGCTAAAATGGGCGAAGTGAAACGAGTCCACAGCTTGACCAGAACGAGGAGCCGGGATTCAGGAGCAGCGACCGCAGAAATATTCGACGAGGAAACGCGCAATTTTTTCTTAGCACCACCCACTAGAGATACGAAAGGTACAGTTCCTAACAACGTAAGGAGCCCCTTTATTATAACAAGCCATGTTACAAAGCACCAATACTTTGATAAAAAACAGCCTCTAGCAAAGTTTATGAGAATAAAAATATATAATCTTATAATTTCTATTTAATTTTACTGGGCTAACAAAGTTTGTACACTATTTTTCAAAAATAGTATAGTCATTTTTAATATTTTAATATTATTATTAATATTATTCTTTAACTTTAGTATGTTGCAAGTATGTAAGTACAAGTCTGGTCAAAGTTTAATATATTTTAGAACGGGGTATATATGTTACTTTCCAATACTGGTGCCTAGAAGTGTACCCAAAGTCCACCATCTAAGTTCTTTCCAACACTGCGCAAGCGAGAAAGTTAGATTCTGGAGAGAGCGAGCCAGAAAAGCGGGAAATTATGAAGCTGAAGACGTGGGAGGCTAACGGAGCAAGTGGGTGGGGTCAGTGGGTTGGTCAGTGGGTGGCTCAGCGGGTGGTTTGGTGTACAGGACACCGCCGACCTGAGCAAAGGACAACAGAATAACAAAAGGAAAAGCGACGCACACACACACTGCAAAAAATGAGAAACCGTGTGGTCCGCTGGCTCGGCAAAATAAATCGCCGGACATAAAGCCAGGCGAGTGCAAGCGAGATGGAAGAAGGGCCAGAAGAAGAAAGAGAGGCCAAGCTGAAGCTGCAAAGCTGACCAAGAAGGAAAGAGACGCAGCGAGCGCCAACAGGAATAAAAAATTGAATGAAATATTTTTATAACCACACACACACACATACCAAGCAAAGAGGAAATAGAGGGAAATATAGAGAAAGAGAGATGGAGAGAGATGGCGAACAGGGAGAGAAAGAGATGGGCAGCTGAAGGATATTGATGGGGCGCAACAGTAAAAGGGAACCCAAGGAAAAAAGAAACGCCAACTTGCTTATCAAATATGAAGGAACCGAAAGTGGGTCGAGGTTTTGGGTGGTGCGGCTGTGGGGCGTTGGTATCATAAAAGCCATGAGCTCACCTGGGGTAGTTGGGTCGAAAGTTTTATGGATGCCCACCGCCACGACAGGTGGTCAGAGCACGCCCACTGAGCCACCGCCCACCGCCCACCGCCCAACCACCCGTCTTTCACATATTTTTCTCCACTTTTTTCCATAGTCATAAAAACAGGGTGCAAGGAGGATCGAATGGGAGCTGGCACACGTGCGGATAATAAAAAATGTTTTACTTTTCAATCGACCAATAATATGGCGTTCAATGGACAGGCCAAACGTGCTAAACCCAAACAAAGGACCACCATCCAACCCAAACTCGAAGAGCTTCGGGATGGTATACACACACACGTACGTAGTTCAATCATCGTTAAAAAGAATTTCATTTTGAAAAATGCCAGAACTTCAATAAATTATATTGCTTCTGGACCACAGAAAGGAAACTAGAGGGGCTGGAGGGGTCAGAGGTCGGGGTGACGGGTCGTGGACGAGGGATGTGGCCAGGACCAGGTCCGCTATCATAACCACAATACAAAGAAACTGGGTGGGCAACAAACAAAAACGGAAAAAAGAAAGCATCCGTGGGTATCCGTAAGATACTCGGGTGCGGACAGGTGAATCAGGTCATCGGGGGCGCTGGGAGTGGGTCCGAGGATGAGACCCGGAGCCAATGGCATTCTATAGCGTCAGCGTCTCCAGCTGCCCGCTCGATGGTTATTGGTTCGCGTTGCAGTAATATAATATACACACACCCACACAGACTCGGATATGTGAAATAAAAATTGTGAAGTGAAAGGAAAATGCGGAAAAACTGAGAAAAACTGAGGTGGAAGCCATAGAAAACTATTGGAAATGTGAGGACTGAGAGGGCAGATTTTAACTCAACTTTGTTGCAACGCGACATTTTTCTGCCCTCGGGGTTAAGGCGGTGGTGGGTGAGTGGGTGGGTGAAAGTGGGTGGCCGCCATTGTCATAATGACGCGCATTCCTGTGCACTTGGCTGTGGATTGCAGGAGCTCTTTCTGCCTGCCCTCCGTTCGCTAATTAAGTCATGGGAAGTCCTCTTTTCCGACAACCAACACTGAAAAAAAGGGAAACCGAAGATTAAGAAAAGAGGAACTACATTTTATTTGGCAAATCGAATAAGAAACACTGCTTAATTATTATAAATTTAACACATTAAGTAATCTTTTAAATTACATAAATATGTATAGGATAATAACTCTAATTGAATTGTTGACTTCGAGTAATTAAATTACTTTTTTAAGTACGCATTTTCGTCGGTGCGCGTAGTAACGAATAGCACCGGGAGTGCTCGCAAGGGATCTAAAAGTATTTATAGCCGCAAAATTAAAAATTTAGTTTTACTTTGATAATAATACTAAAAAATAAAAACTCATACTTTTGACAAAAAAAATTCACTGTGGACGGCATTCGACGTAGTGACGAAGCGCTCCAGGGTGGCCGAAAGGGACTACAATATATACACGAAAAAATGAAAATCTACTGTGATGGTCCGATCTACCAATCGAAAGGTATCGCAAAAACTAAAACCAAAACTTTCAAAATTTCATTTGGCTTGGGGAAACCAGCGGTGAAGGTGAAAAAGTAAAAATTTAGAAATTTGGATCATGTTCTCATTCGGCACGCTGCAAAAGAAATTGCTTTTGTATGCGAAAAGCTTTAATATTTTGCTGAAGCGGGCAGAATGAAAGCATTTTAGAAAGTGTATTAATTTAGTCAAACTTAAAAGATATTTTTCGTCACAAAATTTGATTTTGGAACTTTTGTATGTTGAAGGTGGGATCGTCACGATCCCTTAACTTGTTAAAAAAAATGTTTCCCAATTTAGCATTTTTAACTTTCATTGCAATTTTTTAGAAACCGACAATTGATTTCAATAATTTTATATATTCAGTGTATTCATTTTAAAACCGTTTAAAACAATCCAAGGTTTTTTCTATATCAATATTAGATTTATTTTAGTTATTTTATTCTACAATGTGTTCAATGCCATTTAAACTCGATTCTGACAACCGGAGTAAGATTTACATAATACAATCTATTCTTGGTTTTACCCATTTTTTAAATTTTGGATCGTTTTTCCTATATTTTTTTTGTTTACACAAAGGTATTTCATCGTGCTTGCCTTTGTAAGCCGGTGGCAAATGGAGTCTCGATGCTTTCCTAACAATTTGGGCGCAGTTATAGTTGCATTCATGGCGAGTGCGAAAATTGTTTCGATTGCCCATGCAGCCACCGTAGGTGAAGACGACGCACTTGTTCATTGACTTGTGGTACGTCCATCGAGGAAGGCTGGAATCGCAGGGTCCACGATCCGCTATTGGCTGATCACAGGCCATCACTGTGTGGATAAAAAAAGCAAAAATATATTCATGACTTCGTGGCTGATCACTGTAAAATCGGTTTATTATTTGCTTATTAGACTGAGAACACATATGTATTGCAAAATGCATACACCGATTTGTAAAAAGATATCTTTTAATTATCCTCTTAAGTCAAGTTGGGCGAAATTTATTATATAAACTCACAGATTGGAGCTCCGGACACAAAAGAGAGCCCACTAAGAAAAAGAAGAAGTATCAGTGGTTTCATCTTTTCTTGGCAGAATATCTTGTATTTGATCTAATTGTGTTTCTATTCCATTTTTTACGATTTGTTTCAACTGAATGGTGAGTTATGGAAATTTTATTAGTAGTTCACGGCATTTTAATGCTCTTCGAAGGAGCAAAAGAGAGTGCAGCTTTAACAAAAAAACGTATATATGTATATCAATATATCATATACATTTTGTTTGATTAAATAGCCTTTTAAAAACATTATGAACTTATTTTCTTTGTAAAACATAAAGAAACAGTGTTGATGAGCGGCTAATAGTTTTTCCTTGCAATTAGAATAGATTGTTACAACAAAAATTGTTGTCTAAATCTAAAAACGACCCGATATGAAGGTAGCGTTCCAACCTAAATATTCCCCTTGTGATATGGCGAGTTAAAATTTCTCCGCTCCCCCTGAGGATGCGTGTGTAAATTCCCCACAAGCTAATCAGGCAAGCCTAACGAAATTTGCTAGGAAAATCCGTCAAAGTCACAGGCGTTTGGCCCGCGGCTTCCATCGCAGGCCATTAGCCTAAAAAAGCGCCCACACATGTCAGCCGAAAGTCCTCGAGGCGCACTCCGCCCGTTGTCATCGCTATCGGTATCCACAGGAGTATCGGCATCATCATTTCAGAAGCCAGGACACGCCAGAAAGTGTGCTGAGAAGCTGGATATTTTCAAGCCAACTCCTGAATTTTTTATCCTTATTGAGTATGAGTAGTATCGTAACATCTTCTACGAATTTAGCATTTGACATTTAAATTTGCTAACATTTGACATCTTTGAAAGTGTTCCATGTTTTCAAAATCTAAAGAATTCGCGGTTTTAAATTATACATGAAGTAATCTATGGATTTATATAGTTGGGACACCAAAAATCGTGGTGTGGTTATTAGTTTCTCTAGAATATTTTAAATTAAAGCATACAAAATTGACTTCATTTATGGTGTTATTAATTATTAAGTTAAGTTTATTTTTACAGTTGATCTGATTTATTAATGTACTATTTTTTCAACATCTTTCAAGTAATATTCAACTTTTTAATCCTTTTTTCACCCAAAAACCATCGTTAGCAACACTGGTACCAAAAAAAAATTGGAAATCTGATACTTCCCCGAAAAGCGCGTCAAACTTTGGCAGCCTGGAGGGGAGTGGATTTCTAAAAAATGTGTTGCATGTTTATTTGAAAAATCGCTAAAGGATAACTAAAGGATTCCCCTAAGGGTATTTCGCAAGCTCGAGTGATTTGTTTGCGAATTTACATACATACGTACACATTGCTTCCCATAGAACTCCCAGGGTGTTTTCCAACTCGTTGAGCAGCTCCCCGATTTCTTTTCCTTTTTTCCCCCAACCCATACCACTCAATACGCGGCGGCAATAATTTTGCATAACGAATAAGTTGAATAAGTAAAAGTATCCAAATTGAATCAGTGCAAAATAGAATCCGCCCAGGGAGTGGAGCAAAGAGCCAGGTGGCGGTGTTAAGTGGCAAATTCAATTTCGCTGGCAGTTTACAGCTCCGTATTGACATTTATGAGACGCTATTTCTATGGCGCTCTTTGGACCGTGGGGTATATCGATTTCCAGCTACTTTCGAAGGCGGAGAAGGACGAGCAATCCCCACATGGCAGAGGCAGCATCATTAACTAACCTGCCCCGGAGTCGGTAAATAATGTAATTTATGAATTACAATTAAAAACGCGCCAAGGGCAGAGGACATAGAGCTAGGCCACATGTGTCCGCCCTTTTGGGGTGCTTACCCTCGGCTATATTTGTCTGGCCATTTTTGTGCTTTGCTCATCAGTCCTGATCCTGCCCTGCTCCTGTCCCTGCCCCCTCTTCCACAGCCTGATACTGTAATAAAACTCCCCATTTGGTCATTTGGCAATTATCCCGATAAATTAGCAGCCGGACAATGGCACAGCAGCGTCGCATCGCCATCCAACCACCCACACTGACCCTCTACTTCGTCCTTAATTTTTGGGAAAATTAACAGGGGTTGCTAGCTCAAGTCTCTGAATTCGGCGATTTCGATTGTCTAGGCGATTCTATGCGGTTTAACCTTGCTATTTAAAGGGATTATGCCTGTATGTAGGTTAGCATGGGTCAGAACATTTTACAATTCACACTTGTGATATTTTTAATGTATCTTAGTCCTTACAATCTGCAATCGCAAATTGTATGTGTTGTAGAATAAAGGAATATTACTGAGTTTTTGGGCAAAGTAGTGAACAACAGCTTCAAAACATAACAATTTCAGATATTCAGTAAAAAGCAGAGCTCCCGAAAAGTGTCACCATTTTACTAGGTGTCAGAAAAAGATCAGTTTCAGTTTAGGACCCTATGACCTTTTAACTTAAAAGTTAATACTGGTATTTAGTTCGATAATTTTATAAATTTGTATCATTTTTAGTTAGTTTGATATTGGAATAATATAATAATAATATAATTAATAATATTAATCCTAAGGGTAATAACAGAAAATGTGATATTACGGCTAGCAATATTATCCTATACTTAAATAAAATGAATATTAGTTCTTTAACACAAAATATTTATTGAACCATATTATCTTCTGGTTTTTTGCTTATTGAGTTATAATATTATTAAAACACAGTTTATTACAAATTTATAAAAAATTCCTTGTATTCCAAAAATATTTATTTATACTTATATTTTAACAGCAATAAGTATTATTAAAGACTATTTCTGCTCCTCTAATGATTCCCCCCACAGTTTCTTTTTTGCTCCTTGTTCATTTTTTGGGGACAACATTTTTCAGGTGTGGAAAATCGTCTTTTCAGGTTAACAAAATCAACTTGGTAACGAATTAAAACGAACCGAAAAGCGAGTGGCCAGCAAAAACAGGCAGAAAGGCAAACAGAAGGGGGTGTACGTATGTGGGGGCTTTGGAAAAATGCAAAATAAACGAGGGGCTGGCAAAAACGAAGGCAGCGAGCGTGTAAAAGGCCTCGCAAACTCAATCAATCAACGGACGGTATAAAGCGCGTATACGCAGTGTTGTCCATGCCAAAGTAACAAATGAACACACACCAGAACGCAGCACACACACACGCACACGTGGAGCGCAAACACAGACGCACACAGACTCAGGTTGTTAGCCGCTTGTTTCGCACTGCTTGCCAAATACCACAAAATCTATTTCGATTCGCAATCAAAATCCCAAATTCCATTTGTACTATGACGAGTCCGAACCATGGACTCCGGACTACGGACTACGGACTACAGCCCCGGACTCTGGACTACGGCTATTTGTGCGTGTGTGGAGTGGAGTAGGCCGGAGATTGGGAGAGACTGCGATTGGGAAATCGTGGCCAACTTGTGCTTGAGTGCTTTCGTTTGTATTTAGTGGTGGACTTAAAAATACAGAGGCCCCAGTCCCGATCGGCCTGTATCTGCAGCCACCTCCTCGATCCAACCCCTTTGATTGAACCCCCGAAAAGTGGGACTCCACAAAGGCCGTGGCCACAAACGCATCCGGCGCTGACGTTGAACGATGAGTCCCGCTGAATGCCAAACGGCTAGGCCCATTTCCATGTCCTATTCCTATCCTTTATCACTCGGAAAAAATTTCAATTCCAAGCATACGAGGGTTTTGAAATCACTAATAAAGGAGTCCAAAAGTATGCAACAATTTATATGGATTTATTGTGTAGTGTGGAAAAACATGTCAAAAGGTGATATATTTCCCTTTAAAAATGATCTCAAAACTCTAAGAATTAGTGTAGTATTTTAATATGCGATTATAAACGAAATGAATATATCGTAAATTATCCAAAAACAATTTATTTATTTATTTATATAATGCTAACAAGTAATTATAAACTAAATGCTAACAATGGGCATGAGCTATAGCAGCTACAGGATCCAAAAACAATATAACATATCCATTCCTTTCAGTTGATATCTTTCAAAAAAACGAAATATTTGATCACAAAGGGAAATTGGGTTTCGACTAATATTGAAAATTACATTATCAAGGGTTTATCTAGAGTTTAACAACAAATCGATCTATATTTTTTTAACAAACTAAACATTATATTTTTTGCGCAGTGCATACGTTTGTGATCCGCCCCCTCCCCCACCAGTTGTCCATTCAGCTGCCATGTTTTCCAATTTTCGGCGCACTGCGTTGCATTCAGATTCGTTCAGATGCAACAGCAGTGGAACAACAGCAACAAACGGCGCTCGCTTTTCCCGAAATTTAGTCATTGTTCGCGAAATTGCTTATAAACGCGACCCCACCGCCCCTTCTGCTTTCCCATTTTCCGGACTGCCCAATCTGACCTGCCATGTCGACGCTTTAGTCAGGCCAAATTCAGATGGAAGGGAGTGAGTGGGGCTGATTGCAACTCTTTGGCTTTGGCTTTGGTGGTTGGCCAACCGCAGCGAGCCGCTTTCTGATCGCCGGACGCCTAAGTAAAAATATTATTACACTCTCGTGGCCCCCAGTAAAAGGGGTTCCCCAGTGGGTCAGCACACAACCGCCCCGCGAAAAACCATACGCGCCCAATCGCGAATTTATTCACCGGAAAATGTTGTAAATTAACAAAACGATTGAGTGGAAGAACCGCTTAAGCCTCTTACCACGTTTAGGCTGAAATGGATGAACATGGTTGCGGCACGGTCATACAATAGTAAGTTAGGGATATGAAAGCAAAGATAAAAGTCTTCACGACACTTAAAGCCTTGCTTATCAAATGACATTACAGTGGATTATCGGATGGTTACGACAAAGTATCGGAAATATTTAAGCACTATCATTTTCATTAATAAACAAAATTTTGATTTAATAAGTGCCTTTAAAAAGAAATAAGCTTAGCAGTTTAAAGATACATAAATATTGGAATATAGTTTACAACTAATGCATACATTTTTACATTACTCCTATTAACGTGTTGAATGTTTTCCTTTATCCCTCGGCAGTGACAGGCACTCCAACGCTTGTCTTCGATTCAATGGGGGCTTCCTGCGGCTGCACCAGAGCCTTGGTGGGCAGTAGGTGCTTCAGGGGTTCCAGGATGCGTGCCTGCTCTAGGTATGTAAGCTGCTGTTGCTCCAGCTGAAGCAGACTAATCCCCAAGTGAACTGTCAGCGACTGCGGAGGGAAGACGCCGTGGATGCACCGCTGCATGTAGGGCACCAGGTCGTATGCCAGACAGGAGCAGAGTCGAGTAAAAGCCTCCCTTTCGCTGCCAGCGAAGGCCTGCTGCTCCTGCCGATAAAAGGCCAGCACTCGCTGGGAGGCCAGTTGCAGCGAGTGCTGCAGACAGCGGGTCACATCGGTAGCCAGGGCCAAGGGAGCACATAGACGCAGTTCGTTCAAGGCAGTCAGATAACCATTGCACAGGGCTGCTAGCGGATAGAAATCCAAGAGGGTTTCCGGCGGCGCAAAGGACTCCTGCTCGGGATCCAACTGCTTGCGGGCGTGCGAGTGCAGCGCCACCTTGTTGATCAGTGTGAATCTCTCCAACTCCCTCTCGAACTGCTCGTCAACCTGCTCCACACTGCTCTCAAACCGTCTGCGTATCACTCCCACGAAAATGGGAGCCATTAGGGCACGGAAATCGGCTCCCACGCGGCTGAAGGACAGCCCGAAGTACATGCACTGTCCAAGCACAGTCTCAACGGAGCCCACTCCCAGCTGTAGATCCTTCTCCAGCGTCTGTAAGAAGTCGTTGATCTAAGGAAGCAGGCAGGAATAATTAGTACTTGACATTTTTTAAAAATGTGTTATGAAGTACACACCTTATTGTGCAGCCAGGCCTGGAAGAGTCGGTCCCCATTGCAGCTCACACCCTGCAGAGGCCTCAAGGAGCTCTGAGTCTTCAAGCTGCCGTCCTCCTCCGGAAAAATTGCGCGGTACTGGGTAATGATGTTAAAAAGGTTTATTCGCGTGATCTCAATGGTTTTGGATAGGTGTTGCTGGGCTGTGGTAAGAAAAAAGGGGATAGTTAGTAGAGTTTTATATAAATGTGCTTAGATGAGCATTTTCTTTCTTTACTCCAAATTGTAATAATTGTGATAGGCTTTTATTTTAGTTGATTATAAAATAAATAAATAATTATTTGTAAAACGTTCTAATGTGATAGTAAACTGGCAATGTAAATGAAATGATTACACCTTTTTTCAATCCCAACATTAAATATTATAGATGCAAAATATAAATTGTTTCGGATCATAATCCAAAAAAGCTTTCTTCGCAAATCTAGTGCCGGCTTACCATCTCCAGTGGGTATGGCCTCCAGGCAAGAGGTCAACCAGGCGTCCCTTGCCTGCAGGAACTTCAGGCGCAGCTCGTTGTCCCCGAAGGCCTGCATCCGGCGCAGATAGCCCACGATCTGCAAGCACTTGGGCAGCTGCAAGTCGGTCCGCAGTTGTGCCACCAGCTGCACAAGCATAGTGTGCCACAGGGCTTCCACCGAGCGCACAATGCTCTGGAAAGGATTAGCTTAGACCACGAAGGTAGTAAGACAAAAGAACAACCTACTTTGACCACTGGAATGTGTCCTTGGTGCTGGCCCAAGCGAGTGGCATAGGCGGCCAGCTCCAAGGCCTCCTCGTAGCGACCCTCGCGGATGCAGCGCTCCATGAGTTGCGGCAGCTCCAGGACCTCCAACAACTGGGCGTTCTTTTGTAAAGTAATGGAGTTGAGGCGCCGCTGCTCGTTCAGTTCGGCAGAGTCCTGCAGGAAGCGTTCGCACTGGACACTGAGATCGGGCAGCTTGCCCACCAGCGTGTCCAGCTGCTGCTCCGATCGCAGGAACTCACTGAAAATCGAACGCGAGTTCTCCGCCGTGGTGATGAAGGTCCGGTAGTTGGAGATGGCCAGGTCCTGCGTCTGCTCCAGGATGCTGCGCGCCTCGTCCGCCAGGCGCGTCTGCTCCTTCTTCAGCTGCTCCACCTTGCAGGTGCCCAGTTTGGCCAGGTAGTTGTCTAACTCCGGATTGCCACGCAGGTTGTCTGGTGTGCACACAAAACATGCATGAGCTGTGGCCATTTCTGCGCTCTCCAGTCCCAAACTCACCCGGCACTCCGTCGGGAAATATCAGCTTCAGCACCCTCTCGTTCTCCAGGTCCATTTTGTCCGGAAAATCCATTTGTTTCTGGTTAAAATTCCGAAATTATCCAATTTGTTGTCGCTAAGAAAATTGCCTATGAAAAACAGCTGATTAGAGATGTGAGATATCGTTAGCGGAGACACCCTCCATACGTAACGATGACTTTAAAATATATCGATAACGACGCAAATGTGAGAAAAATGCTATCGAAATGTCAGTCGGCTAACGTCTTTTGAAAATTATGTGTTGATTATTGATCTATTGAGGAGTTGTTCCTAATGAAGTACTCTCGAAATTATTTGGTAATTTCATTACAATTATATAAACTAAATCTGGTTTCATTATATTACTAAAAAGTACAGTTAAATAATGGATTACTTTTGAAAATGAAAATTGAATTCATTGCTTTGGCGTGGCAAACTTTTTTTGGGCGGTTTGTGGGCGTTAGAGTGGGCGTGGCATATTCGCGTGACAAACTTGCGCTGCGCTCAGGGCTACGGAATCTAAATCTGAAGCCCCAGTTTTCTATCTTTGATATTTTCCGAGATATCCGCGTTCATATTTACGATTTTTTGAAGTTTGTGGGCGGCTTGTGAGCGTTGAAGTGGGCGTGGGTCAATCGATAGGTATTGACAGACGGACAGACGGACAAGGCTAGATCGACTCGGCTAGTGATCCTGATCAAGAATATATATACTACATGGGGTCGGAAACGCTTCCTTCAGCCTGTTACATGCTTTCCGACGAATCTAGTATACCCTTTTACTCTACTTTCGAATTCAATGAAAAAAAAAATATGGATTACTTTTGGCCAAACTAATGCTAATGGAAAAATATTTAATTAAAATTGAAAAGTGTAATGCTAATGACGGGTTTCCTTTATAAATTATAACGGCAATGAAAAATTGTATAATTAAATAAAAAATTAATTAATTGGGGGTCGATTAAATCTGAAGCTATGACCATTTTAAATCAATACAATTTAAACTAAATTTGTATCGCACATAAGTCACCTTAGCCATCTTAAGAATTCGCGGCTTATCTACGAGCCAGCACAGATATTTTAAAAAATCTTAAGCTTTTCTAGTTTTAAGGTCACTTGTCAATTTGCATATTGATAACATAATATTGTTTTATTTTAAAATCTTGTTTAAATTAAAAAATGTCTGATACATCTTTTTTGGCTCCTATGATATATCCCCCAAAAAACAGTGTTTTTAATCGCATTTGGGAAAGCTAAACCTATTTGTATTTGCGGCGTTTGGACTGGAAACCTTTGAAGAAAAAGTTCCCCCATAAGATTTTAGGTCTCCAAAGTTGACCTTTCCTAATGTAAAAGTATTTTTGCTGGGAGAAGCTTCCAACGTATCTTACGCTTTTGAAACGCACTTTACTTTCCTGTGGCCCAGACCTCCGATTAAATCGTTCAGCTGGAGTGAACCTGCTTCTCAGGCACAACCGCAGCCGCAGTTATTATTTTTGCACTTTCACTTGCTCTGACCCAAATATCGATGGCAGTGAGGAGACTCGATTCTTTTTTCGGTATCACCTTCACTAAATCACCCCAAAGTTAATATTAAAACAGAGTCCGCTGATGAAAAGTTTATATAGAATTTATACTTTTATTGCTTCTTGACATATTTATTATGAAATCTTAAACAATTCTTAAAGAAAAAAATAAGAAATACATATGATTCTTTACTTTAAATCTTTTATGGTTTGAATGTTGGTTACACATCCACCATGGCAAAAATTTCGCAATCGCAATTATTTGGCAATCGCCAATGAAAACCAGTTTTGTGGGTCCAGGACAAGGGGCTGGCTGGAAAAGGGAATGAAAATCCATCAGCGACCACCCACTCCACTGGTGGACCCGAACTCTCTCCACCGAAAAACCCACCGCCCACCACCTCACCGCCTCACCACCCACCGCTACCTGGTGGCGCAATTCTTACTCAATGGGAGTCTTCGTGGCCAATAAAAAACGGACGATGAGGAACTGCAGTAACACAATATTGTTCGTGCCGCGTCTTGTGGGCGGAGATGGGGACATCGGTGGGCGGTGGGTGGCACCGAGGGGCGGGCGAGGACATAATAAACACACAACGATAATTAAACTGCGGTTAGCCCGGCCAACAGACCGCTTTCAACAGTTCGCTGGCAGCAGCGAGGGTCGGTCAAAGAAAACGAAAAGTAATCAAAAAAAACTTTAAAATAAATATATAATTTAATTGAAGGGAATCATTAATATTAAATAAATACTCATCGCAATACATGTTTACTATTTGTAAAAAGTTTGAGCACAAATATAATCTTTTGATACTCAACTCGAAAATATAAATGTTAATCCTATCGTTTCGTTTAAGTATTAATCTCTAACTCACTAAGATTTAACTAATGATAGTTTCGTAAACGCTTATTGGCCTAAATATATAGCAGTGAAATGTTATTTTAGCTCTAACTTTAATTTAAACTAAATTTGATAACTTCATGTACTTTAATTTGTGTCTTTAATTTTTATTTAAAAATAATTTTTAAAACAATAGAAAAACTATTCAAAAGATCAAAATCAAAAACATAATCAAAACATTTTGTCAATAAACATAAGCATAAGAAATAAATTAATGTGTTGTACTTAGTCTATGTTGGTATTATGGTGTCTCAACAGTTCTTTAACTGTTCTTTATAAATTAAAACAAAAACATTTTTTACGATTACAAATTGCCTCCACTCTTTTTTAGATATGGAGACTGGGCCCCAAGCTAGGAATATGTTGTTTACATACTTTTTAAACACAAGTGTATTCAATTATAATTACTATTTACTATTTGTTTATGGACTTGGTGAATTCATTGGCCAAGACGATATTGCTTTTTTATTTTTCAAATTTTCAAATATATTTAACGCATGAAATTTAATCAAAACCCTTTGTAATAGAATGTGGCAAACATAAGACTTAAATAAAATTTAAGTGCCACATGAAGAGGTTTTGCAAATCAGCCGAAAAAGAACACAATCACCCCTCGCTAAAGCAGCTCCCGCAATCAAGTCCCGAAGATGCGCGCCAAAACAAGCTCTGTTCTCGGCGCGGCGTCTAATCCTCGACGAAACAACAACAACAACAACAACAATAACAACTACAACAGCACTTGCAACACCAGCGGCCGCAAATGAATCAAAACAAAGCCCGGGCAACAACAAATGTTTGGGTCCACCACTGACCTACTAAGAAGACTGCGCGACGCACTCTCCGCCTGGGAGCGTTGAGCACTACGAGAACTGGGGAGAACCGGGGGCTCTGGCTGCCGAGCTCCCGAGCTCCGAAGACTGTCTTCGGTTCTTCGTTGCGTGTGGCGCTTTTTCTTGTCGCTGTATAGTACTCCTCTGCTTTCTGGCCTTTTGGTTTTTTCTTTTTTGCGCTGGGTCGTTTTTCAGCGTTTGTCGACGAATAATAAATAAGAAAAAGTTTTCCTGCAAAAGCAAACCAAAAAGCAAAAACAAAAGCAAGCCGAACCGTAAAAATAAAAAGCGTTTTCGCTGGCGCAGAGCTGAGATCCATCGACCGATCGCACCGCCTCTTTCTCTTCGTCACTCTTCCTCTCTACACTGGGAAAAATTAGGACTATGTTTCAGAAATAGATATGAATAGACAGTACTAGATATGAATACCATACAACCACTAATATATATGAATACTATTTTGAAATCAAATAGATAATAATAATACTTATTGTGTCATTTTATTTATTTCTAATAGACGGGAGCTCTATTTTCCGCTTCTTTCCGTTATGGGTATACAAATATGACAAATTTGAATTGTAAATGCCATTTTTTTTTATTAATTTTTAATTTCTGAAAGATATATGTATGATCCAATAGGACTTATTTGTATATTAATTAAAATAATGATTTTTATGAATTCTTCATTCATAATATTCTTCATAACAAGTAATGTTAAACCCTTAGTCTGAAACTTTCATTGTAACTATTTAAAACTGGAAATGGGAGAAATGTATTTGTTTTATTATTCGGTTGGTATTTAATTGTAATTTTTAATAGTTTCATTAGTTAATCAAAATGATAAAACCTTAACTAAACTAGTCTATGTATTTGAAAATATGAAAAACAGCTTTGGTGTCCATTTGTGATGGGATCCACCGAAGTGTTGGCCAGTTTCTCCCAGTGTAGTGGAGCTGGGTGCGAGGCGGAGGAAGAGAAAGAGAGAGACCGACGTCTTGCCGTGGGACTTTGGGGCTCGATCAGCCGCTGGTGGCGTCGCAGTTGCAAACGTGAGTTCGAGGCGTGTGAACGTGATTTTAGGCTTTTCGCTGGTCCTCCTCGATTTCCTCGATTTCGGCGCAGTGGGAAAAGCCCCCTGCCCAGAGAAAAACAGAAGCGGGACCCCAGAGGTCGCGGAAACTGCATACGATTTGCAGTTGTGTGGAAATATGGACTTTACCACTAATTTTCAAAGCCCTGCGAGTGTGTGTGAGCGTGCGAGTGTGAAATCTGCGTGAAACATTGCCAAATCCTTCGACAGATTTCTATTTGCACCTATTTTGCATTCGGCATTCGGCATTTGGCATTTGCCATCGACGCGAGTGTCAATCGAGTGAAAGTAAACAATGGTGGGCATGGGCACCCAAATGGATAGGCGATCGCGGATCACTAGACCAATAACGGTAAGTGGGGTTGGCCCATAGCGATTGCCTTGCATAACAAAGTGTCAAAAAGTTAACAATCGCACTATAAAACAAATACAATACGTCAATAGGTAAAACTGCATTATATAAAAATGATATTACTTGATAACCGCAAGTAGGTATTTAAGCAAGAAATATTGGACGTTTTCGATATGCTACTTTCTATCCCTAAAAGTAATTATTAATTTTATTTAAACTTAATTTTTGCTTTAATAGAATACACTAGACGATATGCATATGATAAATGATATGTGACATATGATATATTACATATGATATATGATATATTTGAAAAAAACCATAAGAAAGGTTTATGTGGCCTTTATCCGTTTAATGGTTATAACTTATACTTGGTCAAATGCTTTGGTTAAAATGCTTTGATAACTATAATATTATTAATATTTCCTACCGGAATTAAGGTTTATAAAATAAATATATTATTATTTATCACCGAATCCCATATTGAACCGAATCAATAACTAAAATATATATTTTAAACCTTTTTTACCGGACTTAAACTCCCACTTTATAGTATTGTTTTACACTGATTCCCTTTTGATTCAAACCAAAATCAATCAATCAACCCAAACCAGATCGGAATATTTTAATTTTAGTGTCCCCCTTAGCCAGAAGCCATTGATGAAAACGAAATCGCAATTAAAAGATGGTCACACGTCCCCGTCATTTTTTAAAAATGTGTTGAAATCGATCAACGTTGGGCTAAGCGTTTTATGCATATTAACAACTTCTGTCCCCCCGAGTGCGAGTGGGCTTTGTTTTCTTTTAACGCATGACTACGCAATCATAAAAGCATAACCAACAACGAAAATGCTCAAAGTTTCCGCTGTGTTTGCCGTTGTGGTTGGCATTGCCGGTCCCAAACAGAGGAGGAAAAAAAGAGAGAGAAACGGAATAAAATAAAAAGTTTCACTTTCTTCGAGAGCAATGCGGCTGGCCTGGGATCGACTCGTTGTATTTGGTCCAAGCCCAAAGCCAAAACCAAAAGCCAAACTACAGCTAAAACCACACCAAACCGAAAGCGAATCGGCTGCCCAAAATATCGACTTGCCAAAATTGGGATGCGAAGAAGTTCGCGGCCTTTTCCGGCGGTGTCCAATCAGTGAAATTTTTTGTTTAATTAGCCATTTTGCCATGAATATGCATTGCCCAGGTCTGGGAAGGGAAATGAAGAGCTTGCAGCGAGGCAAGTCAAGTTTGTTGCCAGAGTCTTTTGTTTGGGCTGCACTGCAGCCTCGTCGAGTTTGTCGCCTGAGTCTTTTGTTTTGGTGGGGAAAATTTCACCACTCGCCAGCTGCTCGTCTGGCAATTAGCAGAAACAGCAGCGGCAAAGCCAAATTTGGTTAAGTGTAACATCAACTTCATTTCCAGAGCCAATTGAATTTATAAATAATTCATTCTAGCCACTCGCCAAGAGAGTTGCAGATGGACGGACGGGCGGGCAACTTGTATTTGTATTTGGGAAATGAAGACATAGACTGGAACGTCTCCTCCGCGAGACACCCTCCTTCCTCCCCCACCCCGCACCCCTCCTGTCCACCGGCAGACTGGGTTTTCGTAGAAAGTCGCTGACACATTAAAGTGTTGCAATACGTTTCTCTGACGACAGCTCGGCATCGTCTGCGATTGACAAATGTCTTCCTCGATGCGAGTTGACTTAATGCCCATTTGCACTGCACCGCAGCATCGGCACTGCACCGCTGCATCCAGTGCTGCCAACTTTAAGCCACAAGAAGCAGCTACTAGAAGCCAGCAAAAAAAGCCAGCTACCTGTAGTATTTAATCCCATGATCGTTAAATATTTTTAATACTAGCATTTGATTCTCATTATTCAGTTTATGATAGCTAGCGTTTGTTTACATAACATGGGATACTTTCTTTATTTTGAAAACTAAACCAATATATTAAAATGTCATCCAAAGTAGGTTGTATTATATTATTATATAGTATTATATACCTACAATATATTTTAATTTTTTCATGATGACCTATCCACAGTTAGACTGTATTCAACAATATGGCTAAATTTGTGTTAAAATTCAGTCTTAAAGAAAGGGCCTAGTTTTCTGTACTAAGGGTTTTTAGGAAATTTTGTTAATGTTGAATATTTCCAAATCCAAGGCTAATCAAAATCTATACTTATCTAGATTTGTGAAATCGTATGATTCTGACTGGAAAATATCCATTCTGCCACCACTGACTCCAGCGGTTGCAAGCTCTCACGGCTGATTGGACATATACATATTGATTTGTTTCGCCGACTTGGGCTGCTGACAGCAGCATTTGCTCCAATTTCCCCGTGGATCCTTCGCTTCCAAGAATTATGACAATGTTAATGAATGGGATTCGGCTTAATTGTCTCGATGCACATGACAATCGACACTAATGCCAGCTGGCTTATTTATTTTTTGCCGAACAAAGCGAAAGTAATTCTGCTTTCCATTTCAGGCGTCTTCTCTTGCGGTGTGACCTGATTTGATTTTCAACACAAATTAGTTCGCAGAGAGCCATTTGTTTCGCACCCAAGTTGCGGTCTCATCCTCCGGTCCCAGACTCAGACCTCGGATCACTTTCTTCTCGTAATTGCCATGGTCTGGGTGCCGTGGAGCACTTGATTGAAGTACTTTTCCAAATGGGAGAAATGGGCATTAGTGCTAGAAGAAATTCCACCTTGTCATTGATATTTAAATTTGATTCGAGTACATGATGTATGAGAATTATTTGCCCAAACCTCTCTGAACTGAAGCCCAGAAAACTTTCAACCTGAATTATGGATACATTGCGTTCTAATTCGATATTGTAAGTGATAGATTTGATACAATGACTTAACAAAAGATTCAATTCGACCTTAATAGGTATATTACCATATATGTCTGATACTTTTCAAATAATTTTGATTATTAAAAGTATTTTCTTTTTCTTCTATAACATTTTATATACTTTTTTTCACAAAATTATCTTAATGATTTTGAACTTATTAATTAAAAACCATTTTTTTCAATTATAAGACCGACTTTGGCTACCAGAAAATTCCCTGAGAGTATTACAAAATATCTCAAGCATTGACCTTGCTTACATATGCAAATGGGGCTGGAATTTTCCCGAAACCCAGAAACAAGAGATGGCCAAAGATCAGTGATGGATATTACCTAACCGCATGGCCAATCGTGCTGTGCTCACATTTTGGACACACATCCGCCAGCGAACGGCCCACAAGGGAGCCGATCACTTTCTTTTCTTTGGTGAATCACCCGCGATCGATTTGTGTGCGCCACATGTGATTGGGGCTGCGGGCTTCGAAAGATAACCGAAAACCAAATACCGAGTGCACATCAGTTTTGGCCAACCGGTTCGGTTACCAGGGCCCCTCGAGTAAAAGACCGAAGATTCAGTCCGAAAGACCCTATTAGGACCGACCTGAAGCACAATCCCGGCTTTCTGGCGGCAATTGTGCAACCGAAAAGGAAAGTTGAAAGGGCCCCTGGGCGAGGGAGGCGAGGCGGGAAATGCCATGGCTTTTCCAGCGCGCCGCAATTTACTTTTACTTGGGTAACCCATTTCGCTTTTGATTGCTCTTTGCATTTCACTTTGCCGGCTGCCAGTGGCCGGTGGCCAGTTGCAAGTTGTCCGCCGCCAGCTGCCGGTTGTCGGTTGTTGGTTGTTGGTTGTTTTTTGTCGGTTGCTGGTTGCCGGTGAGCCACTCGGGTGGTGCGGGGTGGCCAGGGTGGTGCAGGGTGCTGGGGATCGGTCGGCGGCCAGTCTGGCGCGATGGTATCCATGCAGAGAGAGAAAAACAGGTAGTTAATGTCTAAAGTATGCGCAGTTCTTTATACCATTGCGACAATTTGCTCCTTTTCTTAAACTTTGAATTATTTAATAATGATAGTCTATTGTCTATTTCATGAAATGAGCAAATTTGTGTGTGCATAAACACCATTTCATGAACTCGAGAACACCAAAAGTTGACCCTCAATTCAGATCCAACACCTGAAATGCTAAGGCACAGCCTTCTTTATTCTATAGAGCTCTATCAAAATTTCAAAAAAAATGACAGTTCAGCTAATATAATTTCACGAATTTGTCTGTGCTCTACAAACAGTGGCTATTTTCATTTCATGTGTTGGAAAATACATGAAATTCATAGCATAAACATATGTTTTAAATATGATTTTCAATAAGTTAAAATTTGTATACCTTATTTTTGTGGGAAATCAAATTTTTCTCTAAGCGAATTTGTATAAAATCCCTTCTTTTTATCATAAATATCAAATATATTATGATTGAGAATAAAACAATTATTACTTTAAAAGAAAGGATCCAATTATTATTTAAGATGTTAAGAATTGTGATGTGGGTGAATAGCAATATATAATATATCCTTTTCAAGAAAAATGTGAAAGACATATATTTATAAATTATCCACTCGCTTGCAACACAGTTTATATTATCACATCTGTTGTAATAATTTTTACCCTTTATGCTTATTTCGAATTCAGTTTGGAAAAGGTTAAAAACGTTCTCCCAGTGTAATGGCTGCTGCAATTGCGGCCATTCTCTCTCTTGAGCTGCAGTCTGGAGGTGGCATGCAAATGCACATCGATCATCTTTATGACTTGTGATTGTCCAGTTGGCTTTGCGTGAAAGTAAAATTTGATTTTCTACCGGCTGCAGTCGAGTATACGGCTCTGGCAATTTGTTTTGGCCGGGTGAGAGCCGCCTGGCCTTTTCAGACCTCCCATCCCAGGTGCATTGAGCCCACTTGACTCCACTTCGCCGCCACAAAAAATGATGTTTTAGCGTCACGCCATTTGCTTATCAGCGAGCGCCTGTCGTTTCAATTAAGATTTCCTCTGCTCAGCTGGAGCCGCTGAGTCTTTCCATTAGCCCAACCTACCCAGCTGTAAGGAAAAGCCTTTCCAAAAGCAGGAAATGAAGAAAACAAAATTCACACAGTTCACAATATTGAATAATAAATCTACAAGCCATTATAAAAGAAAGAAGTGAAATCTAGGGTCATTTCAATCATTTTATTTCATCTTTGCAACGGCAAACCATTTCTTAACCCATAAGTCTATGAATTTAATATTTTAAATTTAAAACATTGTTACATTTGTTCATTGACTTTATAGTATAAGATATTGATAGCCTTGCAGAGGGTATTATGATTTTAATCAGAAGTTAGCAACGCGGTGAAGGAGTTGTTTCTGATTCTATAAAGCTCATATACTATTGATCAGCATCACTAGATAAGTTGATCTAGCCATTTCTGTCTTTCCTTCCGTTTCTAAGCCAATTGATCTCTCAGTTTTAAAACTAACGGTAGGAAATTGTCCCTAAAGTATTTTTTCTGTGTTAGGTAGAAGTGGAAACCAGCCGGATCGGATAACTATATATTATAATATATATATAGTTATGGTTACCACAAAATTGATCAGAAAAATTATATAATATAAACCTCCAGCTCCATGTCGCCTCCGACCACAACAACAGCCACCTTGCTGGATGTATTTATATACATATCAAAAATATAATATTAACTTCGACTTGCCGATGTTACATTCCTAGCTTGATGAAAATATTGAATTTCATTATATTTTTAATTTTGTAATCCTTTTTTTGTTTTTTTTTTAATTAAATAATTTGTATCAAAATATATTGGTGGATCCTAAAAAAAATTTGTTATATACACAAAATATAACATTTGTTAGCTAACTGACTATAATTCCGATCTCCCTCCCTACAGGGCGATGTCATGTGGTGTCTACTGGTCATCTTGGCGGTGGCTCTACCACTAGTCTCCGCGGGTTTTGGCTTCGATTCGGCCGATTCGTGCAGTCCCAATGGGAAGATGTCGCGACGTGGTCGGGCCCAGATGCTGGCGGCGATTCCCTGTGACCTGGGTCAGCAGGCCTTCTGCCATTTGCCCGGATCCGCTTATCCGTGGCACGCCGTCCGGCGATTCGTGCATGAGAACCAGGGCCTGATGAAGCGCATGTACGGCGATGTGCGGCACATTTCCATTCTTCGAGATGAGATCCAGAACAACGAGGTGGATGCGGATGACATGGAGGAGACGGCGGAGCGGTACAGCAAGGATGGGGGACGGCGTAGTGCCAAGTATCTTATGAACGGGAGGGATCGCGATCGTGATGATTTTGGAAGCTATAAGAACAATGACGTGCTCATGGAACCGCATTTTCGACCAGTTTCCACCAGTACAACGAGTACAACTAAGGCGACGACGACCACAGCTGCTCCCGAAATAATTAGCAGCACTACGGATAAGATTCCCAGTGAGATTACCAGCACAACGCCTGGAAATTCCACAAGTACGATGAGTACTACTACGTCTGTTCCACCCTCGCCCGAACAGCCTGAGGTAGAGGCGGAAATTGTGGAGATCCAACCCAGTCCGGAGTCGAACAGCGTTTACGAAGTGGTGTCCTCTTCAGCTCCGTCAACCACGTCCACTGCAAAACCTTCACCTGCTGGTGGCGAAAATATTCAAATCATCGACTCACCGCAACTGGGATTGCGTAATCTTAGTGGAGAGGCTATATCATCCCAGGAACCAGCCACTGCCACAACTCCGAAGCCCACATCGCTGCCCAAGAGCTCGGCAGCCTCGCCCAGCAGGAGAAGGAAGCCTGCAGAGACCACCACCACAGCAGCCACTCCAAAAACCTCCAGCTCCATGTCGCCTCCGACCACAACAACAGCCACCTTGCTGACCCGTCGCAATGTCACCAAGTACTCACCCGCATCCGTGACTACGCCGATCAGCTTCGCCTCGCTCTTCTCCGGCACCTCTAGTGGACTTTTCAGTCCGGAGAAGCTGCGCAGGCCCCTAACCACCAGTAGTACAAGTGCACCTGCTCCTGCTCCTGTCCCAGTTCCAGTGGCAGGAGGTGTACCAGCGGGTGCCACTGGAAGTGCCACCAAGTCGGGCCTGCTGAGGGAGGGTCAACTCTTCCAGGATGCAATGAAGCAGGAGCCAGTGGCAGTGGCCAGCAACTTGCGCGGAGTGTAAGTTACTAATTTCATTCCCTTAAACATTTTTATCAATTTGATTCCTCCTTCAGGAATGCCTGTCCCGTCAAGGATGAAGTGGTGGCTCCCTTCTGGGCAAACAACACCCGAGGCGAAGTGCTGGCCCTGCTCAACCTGTATCCCTTCGAGCAGTATGTCCACTGGGAGAAGTGCACCCACGAGTTCAAACAGATGTTCTGCCGGGATGGATGCAGATGCGAACAGCAGTACCGGCTGCACAGATTGTTGGCCTACGATCCGCACAACGAGTGCCGAGGGATCTTCTCCGACTGGTTCCGCTTCCCGTCCAGCTGCATCTGTAAGTGCTACAACATCCCGATGGAGTTCCGGGCCACCTCACGCAGTCCGAGATCCGACAGCCGCTTCGATGCTCCAAAATCCGATCCCATCGAGGCTGCGGAGGCGGAGGTCCAGAGAGCCATCTACGAACATGCCACGGATGAGTGGTACCGCCCACGCGATGAGTTCGACTTCTTGGAGGGGTAATCCATTCGCATAACCATGGGATCAATTGTACAGTAGTCTTAGATTTTATAGCAATAAGAAACAGTACCTTTCTTCAATCAGACTTCCCCTTCTTTTAATCTAAAACAAACCTTCTTTCCAAATCCCATATTTTTTTGTGCTCGTTTCCAACCAACTTCCCCCTCCTTTGATTAATGACCAAACCAAGACCCTAAAAAAACTATATATCTCTAATCTCTAATCTATAACCTTAAGCTACACACTACCTTTCTTTAATCGGACTCCACTTTCATAACCATATACCCTTTAATACCCGAAAGAACTCTATATACCTCTATCTAATAGTGTTGGGATGCTCATGAGTGGGTGAACAAAAAAGAGTTGTTCACTAAACTGAGGGAGTGAATATGCTCCTTCCTATTTGATCTTTTTTGTTCACTTGACAACAAGTGAACAACTGATCAAGTCAGCAAACTGAGTGAGTTGACTCTTGAAAAAAAAGAACAAGTGAACATGTTCACCCAAATGAGCGTTATTTACCCAACACTACTATCTTTAACCCCAAGCTTACTTTAAGAAGCGGCATTATGTTAATGTAAATATAGACCAACATAATGCCCAAGATAGGAAAAAATTACAGAGCGAATGTACCTTGAAATACTTGCGAACGAATCGCGGCCATTGAGCTGCGTCCGATGGTATTTACTAGAGTTATTTATTTATTTATTCAGATCGTAGGTCTAAGCATTACCATAAAAGTGGCCATAACATTAACCCCAAATCTTTCAAAAGTAGCCCAGATTAAAGTGTAGGCGTTTTGGAAAAATATTTATTGCAAAAAGGTATGCGATCATATATGTAGTCTGTATATTTAGAATGCTTACGTATGTATAAAATAGATTTTATTGTATTTAATACGTTGATATATTACTGTTACTCTTTAATGCATACAAGGGTATGTTGATAAATTAGATTTATAAATTGTATTTATGTGTAGAAAAGGGTTTCCTTTCTAAGAAATTTGAAGGCATTTCAGGCACTTCATTTCAGTTTAACCGTTTACCACTTAAGGCTAGTGATAGCTTTTTTGTCAATCACTCAATTAAATAAAACTTCTATTGTTTCTTAACTAGCCGATGTTTTATTTTCAGGGTCGGCCAAAGGCACTTGCCAGAATAAGTAAAGTTGTAAGTAAAGCTCGATTTAGAAGCAGTTCTCAGAGAAAATTGGATTAGTTGAAACTATTTAATATACACAGTTGAACAGTTGAAGGTTTTAAAGCCAAACTCTATTGCCACCGAGTTTATCGAATCGTTAAGGTAAATAAAATACAAATCTATAATGTTTTTACTTACAATTACATAATAATAAATTGCATACAAACAGACTTTCGGCTTAGAATGTCGCCTTAGAAGGAAATCTAGTTCCAGACGGTATATATAAATATGATATATAAATTGTGGAAGCATTCCTTGTTTGTGATCAAGCTTGACAGAATTTATCTGCCGCACCGGACAGACGTACCGCGAACAAAGACTACATCTACAGACATAAATTAGGTGACAGAGACAAGAAACAGGTAGAAATACCGCGCCCTAATTGCAAACTCCTCAGTTGCAAATCGACGCCAATTGAATACTCTGCGTTGAACAAAACGAATACGAACTCGATACTATTGATGCGCGTTGAAAAAATACTAGGCGTGAGTGTCGCGTTGTGTGCTAATAACTAAAACTAAGAAGACCCCAAGTCCAGGTTTGCCAGTCGATCCGATCGCATCAGCCACTCGTCACGGGCACCCACAGCAGCTTGTCCTGCTCCTTGTCAACGGCATCCTTGATTTGGGTGCACATGTGCTTGATGCTGACGCCGGGGATGACGGCTGAAAGAAATAATAAAGTGAGTTATACATATTAGAAAACCAAGGTTCTTAATAATTGTTCCTGAAACTACCGAGAAACTGAAAGCTCACCTGATATGTACTGCTTGTAGTCTGTCTCCAGTTTCATGGCCCGTTCGTACATCTCCTTGGCCGCCTTGGCCGAGATTTTGTCGGTGCCAAAGTCGCGAATGTCGCGGATTTGTTTCGCGGACTTGAAGCGCAGCAGTAGAACAATAGGGTAGATTTGTAGACGCTGCAGGCGCTCCACGGCGGAGATCGAAACATCCAAGATGCAGTGACGTCGATCCTGCGGGGGAAAATTAGAGCTTACAGAAGATCTAAAGCATGGAAATATTATTACTCACATTCTTGCAGGCATTGCTGATGGCCTCCACGGTGGTGCTCTCGAACTTGTTGCCCCTCCGCCGGTAGTCCACAAAGATGTTCTCCTTCAGACCCTCCTCCATGGCCTCCTGCGAGCAGTCCATGGCAGTCACCTCGCACAGCTTGAATAGGTTGGAAAAGTCGATGGTCAGGCGGTCCATAAGGCACTCTGACAGCGGTCCAATGATCAGCACAGGCCGGCGAATGGGCGCTAAAAGAAGGTCATAGTATTAACTCATTTAGTTATACTTCGTGAATGGTATCTTACAGTCCAGCAGCTCTACACGCTGGTAGCTAAGGGCTCCACCATCATCGTTGAGCAGGCCTAGGTCTGGAAAGAAGCTGAGCTGTGTATTGCTGAAGCTGGCAATCTCCGTGGAGTCGCGGGACGAGCTGCGCTGGTTCTTCTTGCGACGAAAAAACGATCTCCTGGCCGAAGTGCTGCCCCGTCTGGCGGTTCCCGTATCACAGTCCACCACCTCCCCCGAACGTAGTTCCTCTTCCACCCTGTGGGATAAAATGTGAAGTAGTTAAGGCAACCTAATCTCTCTTAATACTTACTTTATTTGACTGGGTATAATGCCGCACTCCTTCCGATGGCCCATGGCATCCAGCTTCCAGGCCCGCCACAAGCCAAAGGTGCCGTTAAAGACTGTGTTATCCACGTAGAGCACCTCGTCCTTCACAAAACGCAAGTCGTCCTCGTTTAACTCACCAGTCCGGTCAAACCCCACGCGAATGTAAAAGGAGTCACCAGGCTCGTCTTTAATTTGTTTTAGGGCTGTATTAAATATTAATAGATAAATTAAGTTTGAAGGCATATACATATAGATCATTTGCTACTCACTGTGCAGTTTATTCTGCACCAGCATGGTGACCGTATCCGTGAGCTTTGATATCTCGTTGGCCGCCTGTTCGGCGGTAACACCGCTCAGGTCCACCCCGTTGTACTCCAGTATTTTATCCCCCTTTCGTATTCCTGCATGATCCGAGGGCGATCCGGTCGCCACGTCGTGCACATAGATGCCTACCTTGTTGCCACCAAACAGCTTAATGCCCAAGTTCTTTGACTTGTCCATGTGCAGAGTCACGTACCTCAGAGCTGGAATAAAAAGTTTATTGTCATATGAAAGAATCAAAACATAATAGTGTTTGTTAGTAGGGATAAAGCTTTGAAGGAATCTTTATGGGGCGTCTTCAATCACATTTTACTGTGCTGTTCCTAGGTTTTGTACATTTCTTGGCCGGAAAATAATCATTTTCCGTTCAAATTCTATGGCGGCCAAAATTTAATTTTCTAATCAGCCTGTCCTTTTGCGCTACGATCCTGAGAATATGTACCTTATACAGCCGGAAACGTTTCCTGCTGCACGGTTACCTTCTCCGTCGAAGGATAGAAATATTGGAACATGCTACTACCCCGGGAGTGTGGTTAGTAGTGGGTGGAGTGTTGTGGCTACGTACTCTCTGCCGGAACGGATGCAGGCGGAGGCGGCAAGGCGGGCTTGGGCTCCTCATCGTAGACCGTCGACGTGGCCGATGCGGTCGTTGTTGTTGTGGTGGCCGCCGACGAGGGCATGTCCTGACTGCTGCTGATATCCGACTGGTTCTCCAGGCTGTCGGTGAAGCTCTGGTCCTTGATGGATTGATGAGAGAGCGGAGCCCTCGAGCCGGACCTCGCTGATGGAACCTGTGGTTGCAAAGGCAACGGGAAGAGCGAGTTGCGAGCAGGTGGTCGCGGTGAGTTGCGCGGAGTTGGGGAGCCCGAGTGGTTGACGGGAGATTCTGGTTCCAGATTGTGCACTCCCTCGTACTCCATCGAAGGAAACTCTGAAAGATGAATCGGGATTAGATCGGAGATTTTGTATCAGCAAAAATTATATACATACTCTCCGGATTGTACTGCACGAGCATTGTGAAGGAGTCGCCGCACTGCCGCAGCACGTTGGCCGCAATCTCCTGCGTGGCGGCCCGCATGTTGATGCCACATACTTCCAAGAGTTGATCGCCCACCTGGAGACCGGCACGCATCGCTGTGCTCTTATCGGCGACGGTGGACACGAAGATCCCTCCGCCGTTGTTGTTGCACTGAATGGTGATACCGAGCGACTTGTCGCGCTTGTCGATGGTGACTCTTCTAAGGTCTCCGGGGCAGAGAAAATCCGCGGGCACATTGGAGTTGCGCTTTCCACTTCCGCCGCCTCCATGGCTGAGGATCTCCACATGAACTTGCGGCATGGGCGAACCGCGTCCACTGCCTCCGCCTCCTCCCACTCCAACTCCTGATCCAGTTCCATTTCCTCCAGCCATATTTGCACCATAACTGTTGTGAATGCTGGAGCTCATCAGGGAGATGGGTGCGCGATCCGAGGATGAGGCTGACATGGACCCTCCGGAAGGCGGAGCCGTGTGTGTCACATAGTGATGGTCGATGCTGCCGGAGCTGTTCTTAACCATGCTGCCGCTCTTGCTGGCCACACTGGGATTGGACGGAATTCTCAGCCGCTGATTGTCTTTCTTGCGCGGAAAGGTTCCGCCCTCATAGATCACACCTCCCACTCCCGAGACTCCTCCTCCACCTACGCCCATGTAGGGGTAGGGCCCGTGTCCGTAGTCCAGGTAAGGGGCATGCGGAAGTGGATGGGGGTGTGGCAGCGGGTTGGTCTGGGCATGATGGTGCGGATGATAGTCCAGGTCGGTGGGTATTCCAACGCTGTCGTGCGGTACCACAGCCGGAGGCAGTTGTTGCAACTGCTGTTGAGGCGGTGGAGAGGGCAGTGTCAGGGGACTGGATCTGCGGTTGCTCCTCCCCCCGGGCCCAAAAGTGGGGAACAGCTGCGTGTGCCTGTTCCCCGGGATATGGTTGGACTGGAGAAACCCGCCATAGCCCCCGTGAATTCCGGAGCCAATGCTCTCACTGTCGCTCGGGTACTTGGGCACATGCCTAACCTGCATGGGCACATGGCGCTTGGCGTACACGCCGTACTCGCTGACGGCCGGACTCTTGGCGGACAGTATCGACTCGATGGAGTTCTGCGATTTCAGAGACACCACATCCGGCGGCTGGCCAGCCGGCAACGGATGACTGCCTCTCGGGGGATTCAGCGGCATGAACAAGGCATTGGGATTGGATCCAGAGCTGTTTTTAGGCAGTGGAAGCGGGTGGAAGACGTCATAGACCTGCTGCTTGCGCACTGGAAACTCGCCGGCCGCCGGACCCGTGACTCCACCCATCGATCCCGATCCCATTGCAAAGCCCGCTGAAGACGACGAGGCATTCATCACCTGCTGCTGGGCCTGCTGACCACTTGTCTTGGGCTGGTAAAAATCGCCACTGGGTGTGATATTCAGGGACAAGCGATGGTTACTGTGCGGTCTGGATCCGTAGCGCTCCTGTGAGGGAATTTTCACCCTAGCATTGGCGCCCATCAGCGGTGCCCGCTGCATAGGCTTTTGGTTAATCTCCTCGGGAGTGTAGAGCGAGTGCCTCGGATGGGTTGGATAACCGGCCATGGTCATGCCTGCAGAAGAACCAGGGGGAAACAGTGCTGAGAC